TTGCTCTGAACACATGTAAGCAGACTAGGCTAAGCTGTGGCATGTAAGTAGAGTAGGCTAAGCCGTGGCACGTAAGCAGACTAGTCTAAGCGTGGCTTGTAAGTAGACTAGCCTAAGCCATGGCGTGTAAGCAAATTAGCTTAAGTAGTGGCACGTGAGCAGACTAGCCTAAGCCTTGGCACGTGAGCAGACTAGCCTAAGCCGTGGCACTTTGTTAGGGCAAGTACACCAGATGCATTTGCAAGTTTTTAATTTGTACCTGCATAAGTTCATGTGTGTGAGCACGTGTGTGTGTGAGCTGCAGGCACGGTAGAGGCCAATGCCCAATGTCTTCTTCAATCACCCCTCCACATTAGTTTGGAGACTGTCTCTGACTGAAACCGGAACTCACTGGTTGGCTATGCTAGCTTGCCAGCAAGCTCAGAGATCCTCCTGTCCCCCACCTTCTCATGGCCGGGTTCTCAGGAGTGTAGGTGCTTATGACCCAAACTTGGAGCCTCATCCTTAAACAGCCAGCGCTTTATCAACCAAGCCCTTGGTTCCCTGCCCCCCATCCCCACCCACCAATGCACTTTTGGCTGACAGGGTTTTTGACTTAGGATGAGCTCATGGGTGCCGTACTGCTGTTGTGAGCCACAGGGCATCTGTGTCAGTCCATCTCGTCAATGTCTGCACGTCTCTTTCCCGGCTCTGCCACTGGCCGAACTGTTCCTGCTCGGTCCAGATGCCAGTGCCAGGACTAGACTTTTAGCAAGGAGTTAAGTAAGGGTAAGAGGGACGTGCACATTGGCCACATTTAAAATGGATGGAGTAAAGACAGGGAACTTGGGGGACAGCATCAGGCCCATTGTCCCTGAGTCTGGGGAGGAAAGGACTTCTCCAAGCAGTTGGTAGAGACGGTAATCTCTCCCAAATACGTCTCGGCCAGCACGTTAGCTACTTGTTCTTGCATTTCCATGGCTTGTTGTGAATCTGTTTCGGGTCAGCCTCTCTAGCAGACACCTTGCAGGCATCACCTCCCCCCCCCCCCCCCCCCCCCCCCCCCCCCCCCCCCCCCCCCCCCCCCCCCCCCGTCTCTACAGACTCCTGCAGATAATCGCCTGTTTTACGCCTACAGAAACAAGTTTCAAAGCTCTGAGTAGCTCACCCGTGTCACAGAGTTGGTGCTTGGAGCCAAGATTAGAACATAGCTCTGTTAACCCCGTGCTCCGTCCGCGACATCGTTCCGCCTAGGAAGCATCCTCTATCCCGGGGCAGGTGTCCTTGCTCTTCTCTGAGCGCCACCACACCTTGTTCATAGAGAGTGTGGTCCTTACCACACTCTCATGATAGAGTTGCTGGCTGCGCTGCTCCACGGCGCCCCCTTGGGGCAGAACTGTAGCTGGCTCTTTCTTGCATCCCTAGCATCTATCACTCAAAGAGGACTCAGCCTATGTCTGTCTCCTAAGCTGACTCTGGTTTTGCACTTTTTTTCTATTTCCACAAACTTTGAAAACACTCTCGTTCCTGATTATACAGCAGCAAAACTTAGGCCCACATGTTCTGCACCCATGAGTTTAGTTCACATGTTCTGCACCCATGAGTTTAGTTCACCGCAGATCAGAAACATTTTGGGAAGAAACCAAACATAGAAAGAATTTTATCTTATCATTAGTCCCTAAACAATGCAGTATAACTCTTTTCATTCTTTGGGGGTATTTAAAAATAAATATTGAAAGTGCATAGAGGATCTACATAGGTTACATGTAAATACCCATTTTTTTTAAATAAGGCCCTTGAGCTCCCATGGCTTTGGTATCAAGGGGTCCTGGAACACATGTCTCTCTTTGCCATGGGACAGCCATATTTTTTGGAAAGGCAGCAGCCTCAGAGTGAATTTTCAAGGAGAAGCTAGAAGTAGAGAGACCAGCTATTTTGTGTCCATTGATAGCGTTGGGTCTTGGCTAATCCCACAGCAGTTTGAGTAGATTGGAAATTCTTGTCTGAATTACTTTGGAAACTCCAACATGGTTTAAGACTCAGTGGCAAGCCCAGAAGAACATCTAAGGAGCCATCACAGACAGGCTCCATGGTGTGCAGTGTAAACAAGGATGTCTGCTACCAGCTCTTCAACACAACAACACCCTGAACATCCCGCTGCTTGGTTAGTGCAGGAGCCAGCCGGGTCGGCCAGGTATGAAACATGCCAGAGCCTGTAGGGCTGGATAGGAAAGCTCCCAGAGAAAGGAGAGAATCCAGATAAAAATGACGCAGAAGGTAACATCACAGCAAAGCCCTTTCCAAGTAGCAAATTGAATTCGCCAGACCAGACATACGTTAGTAGAAACAAAACAGATGAGCGTGGCATGGGAAGGCTAAGGCTGTTGCTAAATGAAGTGTTAACTAGGAGTTTTGATTGTCACCCAAAAGCCCGAATGGCTACCCTGTGGGCACTGATGGACCGGCTCTGTTAGTTTGGCAGGGGACCCCAGTAGGAGCGCTGTCAAGGGCAGCAGCTTCCAGCTTTGTTGTAGAGCTGTGGAAGCGCCTGGGGCTGTGGCAGGGAAGGAGCCGTTGTGTGAGAAGCAGCGCCAGCCGTGATCCCTGCAACACAGCCACAGCCTGCGTGCTTTTCATGAATTTTCCGTATGCAAAGTACCATTAGTCGTGCATGGATGGGGCCATTCCTCTAGGTCTTGGGAGCTGCATTTCCACAGAGAAATGGTTTGAATATATGACCTTGTACGTGCCAGGCAACTGAGCTCCATCTTCAGCCCCATCTTGGCTTCCCTTAAGAGCATTTTCATGTTCAGTGAGAAAGAACACCTATCTTTCTAAACATGATAAATACACACAAGAAGAGCCCCCCATAAACCACTGAGGGATGATTTCCGAAGCCTGGGAGACCCCGCCTGGTGTGGTCCCTGTCAAGTCTGACCTGCACTGGGCTCTAACAGCCCCGCCCTTTCCCCTCCATCCTTACTGTGGAGTGGCGTCCAGCCACGCTCTTCCTTCTTCCCAGAATGCTCTCCTTTCCCCTCCTCTGACGCACCTGCTCTCACTCCTCCTCCTCTGAGAGCTTCTGCCACGTCAGATGCCCCTGGCAATGATGTGTATACACACACACACACTCACACACACACACACACACACACACTCAATGATGTATGTGCAACATGTGAGTCCGGTCTCTCTCTGTGGCCATTTGATTGTTGTCTGCATCCCTGTGGCTGGCCTTTAGGTGTCAGGAAGTTTGGTGTCACCTCACGCAGTAAGTCAGTGGCTCTCAGCCCCCCTAACACTACCATTCTTTAATACAGTGCCTCATGGTGTGGTGACCCCCAAGCATAAAATTATTTGTTTGCTACCTCATAACTGTGATTTCACTATTGTTATGAATCATAATGTAAATATCTGATATACAGGATATCCTGAGACGCAGCCCCCCCAAAAGGGCCGTGACTCACAGGTTTGGAACTGTTACAATAAGTATTTTAAAAAGAATATTCATTCTGTCAGCATGGTGACCCATCTGCCAGTGGGAAGGCCAAGACAGGAGACTTTGGGGCCATATGATGAGGCCCTACCTAAAATAAATAAATAAATAGTATTTACCGAACTGTTTTATTTTTTTTTTAAGACGGGGTAGCAGAACAGTGAGGAACTTGGAATTTTAAAAAGTTGTTTTTTTCTAATGAAGTCTAGAGAAACTAAGAGCCATACAATGTGAGAATAATAAAAACCTGACGGGGTACAGACTGACATATACAAGCACATGTTTTATTAGAAACTCAGCAAAGCCCAAATAGTTAGTATGTTTAAATGTCAGGATTTGAAAGCGATCGTAGGATCAATAATAACGTCAACACTTCTACAAGTCCTGTGCCCACAGCCCAAGTGTTTTCCCATTATAACCTAAACACTATTACGCACGGATCTGCGTGGAACGGGGTGTCTGTTTTTTCACATAATCAAGAAATGGTCTGCGCGGCTCAGTGAAATGTCTGGTCAATAGTGTCATATCGCCCGTCCCACGCTTCTATAATCCATACCCCACGAATCCAATTACTACCAAATCCATTTAACTCTAAAGCTCGCTGGCCGTGATCTAACTCCGTGTGGATCGTGTCTGGATTGTTCGGTTCTTTAGTGAGCGACTCCCGCTGCCCCGCGCGGGACTCTAGCATTTGTTAGCACGGAAATGCTCCTCGTGAAAGAAAGAGGGGAGCAGGGTTCTGCTACAAGACATAGAACAGTCTGCAACAACCACAGGGTCTTCAATATAAAGGTCAATTGATTCTAGCGCGCAACCAAAAAGAGACCATGCTAAATCTGATGGAGGGAGGCTTAGGTGTCATGGAGGATTGAACGCCCGCCCCAGAGCATCGGACTCCTTGGTGCGTAACGTGTTTGTTTTTACTCTGTTCAATGTTTTTTTTTCCCCCCTTCAGAAGGGTGTTTGGGAGCATTTTCTGTAAGATAGCTAGAATTACCATTTCCCAAGCGCAGAGCTCCGTGTTTTCCTATCTCTATAAACACTGGTGGAGTTTCACAGCACACTTCTGTGACCCTCCGATGACTGCCTCCACTGTGCCCAGCGAGAAGCTGGAGCGGGAAGCTATTTCTGTATATTTTCTAAAGATACCCCCCGAGCCAGTGGAAAGGAAGCTGGAGACAGAAACAGATTTCTGTGTCCTCGGCGAGAAACACATCTTGTATGCATTCCAGTCTCCGAGAGGGTTGGCTGCCAAACCAGGGTTGGCGCCGCACACTTGTTCCTACGGGTTCACAAGGAGATCTCTGTAGAGGTGGGTGCACAAATAAAGCAGCCATCAAGGTGATCACCCCCAGATGAATGCTCGCTTCTCTGCAAGGCCTGGAGTACACTTGTTGGCAAGGAGACCGATGGTTGGCTTTCCAGAGCCTTTCTGAGTTATACTTCTGCTCCGTCTAGCGGGAGATCTGAAGAGGAAGAAAACTCGGGTGTTTACCACTCTGCTTTCCTTTCCCTTTTCCTCTAGATCTATGCTGTTAGATCGGTCGTTCCGAACAAAAGCAATAATGAGATCGTCCTGGTGCTACAACAGTTTGATTTTAACGTGGACAAAGCCGTGCAAGCCTTTGTCGATGGTACGTATGCATGCCCTCCTGAAACCGAACACGTTGGGGCTCGTTAGTCCAGATACCCTGTATTTTCCCCCCTTAAATGAATTGAACATGAAGAAAGAACTTAGTTTCTAATACTTCTCATAAAAAATAAAAATAAAAACACAATACACCTGTAATTCCCACCCTCTGGAGACAGAGGCAGACAAATCTCCTCGAGTTCAAGGACAGCCTGGACAACGTTGTGAGTTTCAGACCAGGTAGGGATCCATAATGAGACTCTGAATTCTAGGCCAGTTAGGGCTTCTTAGTGAAACCTTGTCTCTGAGAACAAAACAAATAAAGAAGCTAAAAAGCCCACTAGGCATCAAACAAACAAAAACATTATAAGAGCAGAATACAGAAAGGTCTTTTCTTATCGTTTAAATTAAGACTGTAAAGACCTAGAAGACACTAATTATAAAGCTACTGGTTCCTTTGCCAATTATTTCAGTTTGCTCAGAGTGTCCTTTATTTGGTGGCGTCCTTGTGAATAGAGGACCCTGCTGACCTGGAAGGTATCACCTCTTCAACCAGCTGAAGCCTCCTGAGAGTCGTGGCTGGGATTCCGAAGTCCCATGTCTCGAGGGGCCAGTCTCGGTGGACTGAATTCCCCACTGCAGTGTTTTCTGTTCGTGATCGTCGTATCCATCAGTTCATCTGCCTCTTCACTGATGTTGGTTTCCTAGGAGAAAGTCCTTCTCCTTTTTTTTAGCAAGTGCCTTGCCAATGGTACTGGTGAACCTCAGATCTGGAAAAATGTTTCTCCTACACATGTGCAAGTTTGGGTATCTTTTCTGTAAACTGTAGAGAGGTTTTCTTTCTTACGTTTTGTTGTGAGTAAAGATCTCTTTCTCATCGCTGTTCTTATATGCCTTGTTTCCTGGAATCGTTCTCTGCCCTGTAAGTAATGGACGAACTAGACGCGACCTGACAGACAAGGTCGGGAAGACCGGGCAGCACTTCTCAGCCATACCTTTTCCTCGCGGTGTCAAGGACAGCACTATTCCCTTAATTTGCGAGGCTTGGAATAACTGTCTTGAGTTTTCTGCAAGGGGAATAGAATTTCAGGGCCAGAGACAAGCACTGTGCCCACGTTCTGTCCTAAGGGCATGGGGCAGATGATGATCGTTCTTACAAACCCATGAGCAAAGCCGCTGTGTGCAACTTTTGCAACGTTTGCCCTGCTTCGGTGACTATGCACACTGTGAAGATATCAATGTACAATCTTTAATCATTATGACCAAATGGTAGCTGTGATTTGCCCCCCACTACACACACACAGAGACACGCATATATGCATGCATGCACACATGTGTGCACATACGTGCACACACATGCCTACATGCATGAACACATGCACACATGCATGCGCCTACACGCACACACATGCATACATGCACACAGGCGTGCATACATATGCACCTACGTGCATGTACACATGCGTGCACATGCGTGCCTACACACATGCATGCATGCACGCAGGCATGCACACATATGCACATACATGCATGCACACACGCACACGCATGCACCTTATTTAGGTTTTGTAAACAGGCATGTCCTAATAGAGAAATTCTCCTGTCAGATTTTCCTTGCTGCATCACCCACATAGGAAAAGGTTGAGGAAAAACAACATTCCAGGCTACTTGCAGCCTCCATTTCCACCTCTACCTCCCTGAAATCCTGAGGGGTTTCTGTTGCAGGGTGACCCTAATCAGATGCACAGAGGCCAGCAGCTACGGGCATTTCAGCGCAAGGCCTTGCTGCCGCTGCGGCTCTCAGTTTCTCCATGTCAAGACCTCCTTAAAGCTCTCCGAGTGCTGAGGCTCCTCCTCTGTTTAGTTGTAATCCAGTGGGAAAAGATGCTTAAAACCCAGTTAGAGTCGAAAAATACTTGTTGAGTGTCCTTGGTGGACCACACTGAAATCAGGAACCCAAAGGCCTGACAGGACATACCTCCAGCCATCTTTGACACAGTCAATTGAATGACGCTGCCTTCAGAATTCTTTGTAAATAAAAGGATTTCTTGACAATTACTGTGTAAGCTCATTGTCCAAATTGCAAATGAGACCAGCATCAACATACGAAAACAAACCGGATGAGCGTGGAACCGAAAACACAGCAGCCCACCTCCCGACAAGAACGGCTTTGACTGTTTTCTCAAGTTTAACTTTACTTAGAAGTAGAAGCTTAGCTGGAAGACTGACTCTGATGTGCAACCAACCAGGACACTGTCCACAAATATTAACTCCTCTGGCGAATTAGAGAAATGCCGACCCAGTTAATAAAAGGTATAAATTCATGGCAGGGTGGTGGTCGCCCGTGCTTTTAATCCCAGCTCTTGGGAGGCAGAGGAAAGTGGATCTCTGTGAGTTTGAGGCCAGCCTGGTCTACAGAGAGATTTTCAGGACAGTCAGAGCTACACAGAGAAATCCTGTCTCTAAACACCCACAACAAAAAGAAAAAGGAAAGAGGAAGGAAGGAGGGAAGGAAGGAAGGAAGAAGGAAGGATAAATTCTAGTTTCCTTTTGTGTGCAGCCTTGTTATTTCAAGGGCCTGGCAAACTCAAACAAGACAAGGAAGGCCCTGTATTGGAAACTCTGGATAGATAGGAGTGACCAGTCTGTTTAAATACCATAGCCTTCGACAGTCAGTGCCGTCCATCACAGGGGCCTGGTAGTTGGAAATTTACCATTAATACCCATTCTAAGTTAATCTCTGGTTAGCCAGTACCTTGTAGGTAGCTTTCAGTGTCATGGGATCGTAGTATGCTTAACATTGTTGGACTACTTGGGACCCTTGAAGAAGCACCTGCTGATATGGGATCCCCTGACTCTTCCTTGTCAGCAACTTGTCGAAATTGCTCCCAGGAGGCTGGAATGATTTGGTTCAAGTGCGTGGAAACTGACTGTAGTTGGCAGTGGTGGCATGTGTACTCATCAGGACATGGATGTGACCGGACCAGGCAGAACTTGGGGGCCCTTTAGTCATTTAATCAACGTGGTTGGTTGTGAAATAGAAGCCTTGAAAAGAACACATTCTCCCCTCTCATGGTGGACAGAGAGAAGCCAGAACAGGTTCTGTCTTCCTCAGCCCCTGAGAGTCTTGAGCACAGTGAGCAAGAGTGAAAACAGAGAAAGGATGGCCGCACAGAAAGGCCCAACTGCCGCGGCTAATAACACAGAAAATCCCATGTTTGGCTCAGAGGACAGTTGCTTTATTCGCACATCAAAGAGAACAATTTTAATTCCACCTATGGCCATGAAGCGAGCAGAAAATTCTCAAGATATATTTCATATTCCCTAAGACAATATCACGATTTTATTTTAAAAAAAAAAAAAAAAAGTAAGCCTCGCAATGTAGGGTTTAATATTTTTATAAAACCAAGATTGTGCGGCGAATTAAATGAAAATCTTGGAAATGAGAAGCGAAACTGGCACTTTTATTAAGGCCGGCTGTATCAAAATAAATGAAGGAGTCCGCCCCGCCCCGCCCCCCCCCCCCCATTGCCACCACGGCTCAGACGAATTCTCTGCCGCCTTGATTGCGTGGATATTTGTTGAACGCTCTTTCTCTTTTTCTAGGCAGTGCAATTCAAGTTCTCAAAGAATGGAACATGACGGGAAAGAAGAAGGTAAGTCAGATCAAGGGTGATGGCGAATTCGTTACATCTTCCATCAAACCCTCCGAGCTGGTATCCTCTCAACAGAGCTGCCAATTTCATGTTCGTTAGTATGCACACCCAGAAAGCTCCCGATTCCGGTCCTCTCTTCCCTTACCAGCCACTCCTGATGGCCTTGTTTTCTGTGCGGTGTCTTCACCCACCTGGGGATGCTTAAGGAACACCAGAGTTGTGCTTCTTCGTGAGTAAGTATTGAGGGGAGGCCAGCAACAGAATTCAAAGCAGTGAGGATGCTAACTTGCCCGAACGTATCCCATAGCACAAAGGAAAAATTTAAAGAATGCTTCAAGATACTTAAAAAAGCTCTAACTGTATTTTCACTTTTGTATTCCAACTAAAAAAAAAAAAAAAATCTATCCAAGACTGCTGTAAGGTACCTTTTGCCCTGAAGTCAGTCTTTAGTGAAAAGAGTAGATGCCTTAAAGCCATAGAGTGCATGGTCCTTCTGGAGCACTCCTGAACCACTCCTAGACAGCAATGGCCAGGGGGTTTTCCTCTGTCCCATCCACATGATAAGGCTATACCGTCTGGTCACAGGTTTTTGTGGTTCCTGGGCACAGCGCGGTGTTTTTGCATGCATGCGCGCACGCACACACACACACACACACACACACACACACACACACACACACAGAGTCTGCTGTTCTTCACGGCCACCCAGCACTGTGTTTCCACGCTGGCACCACGCAGCCATGGGTTTTGCTACTCATAGACATAAGATACCAACCCACCCTGCCCCCGAAAGGGAAGGTCCCAGGCTTGTGCAACAGGTTTTGAACAGATGAAAAAACAAGGCTGCTTTCGTGGAGCCGCGAGATCACAGGAAGTGCTGGACTAACTTGGCCTGTCCTGGTGGTTTCACGTAGAAGAGGAGGAGTCAGGAGAGGCTCCCCTGCTTGCTGTCCACCCCTTTGTGACACTGTCTGCTTGTCTTTAATCATAGCTTCCCAGGCTTCCCCGGGAGGCAGAGACAGAGGACTTGCAACTGACTGAAAGGCCACATTTAGCTTTACATGGGAAAGTTTCAGATGTGTGGTTTGGGTTTTGAATTTCTCTGATTTGGGGCTGGAGGGCGGGCGCAAACAGCAGCTGCAGAGCTCCTTACTGAGTTCCGTCCTAAGGGTTCCGTAGGGAGATGGTCTCCAGACCTAACCCAATGGACACTGGACAGGAACTCCAGAAGTCAGCGGTGTGTGTGTGTGTGGGGGGGGGTGTTAGTCTCCTCCATAGCTTTTTACCTGTGCTCAACAATACAGATCTCTCACTCAGAAGAGCAGGGACATGATTATGACTTTAAAGGAAGAGTCAGGAAGTAGGGAGGCTAAAAAAGGAAGAGTCAGGAAGTAGGGAGGCTAAAGAGGGAAAAACAGGTTCCTGGGGTCTCTGAGTGCTTGGAGGATAAAGCCAGGCTGGTGCCCTGCAGGCATGCGCAGACTCCACAGGGGAGACATACTTTCTAATTTGGGTCAGACATCTGCAACACTGATTGCTAAGTACACGGAATACCACGTAAAGAAAATACCAACGTCAAGGGCTCCTGGGTGGCTCTGCAGATAAAGGCGCTTGCTGCCCAGCCTGACCTCCTGTGTTTGCGGTGGGAGAAGAGAACCTGCTCCCGCAAGTTGTCCTCAGACATCCGCACACGCTTTGCGGCACGATAGAAACAGAGAGAGCTTGCGCAAATTTAAGAAAAACAGATGTGTAAATTAGGAACACGTTCTTCATTTCCCGGATGCTGTTACACACTCGTTGACCAAGCAAGCTTCTGAGGAAAACTACAGCAAAGTTCTGTGAAAGTCTAAAACGCTTTGAATAAAAATGTAACGCGGAGGTATTTCAAAGCGTATGTAGCGAACCTTGCTCTGTTCCGCTAGCCACTGAGAGGTCCTGGGTCCGAGTGGAGTGGACAAACCTGGTATTACCCTGTAGTAGCGCTTGCCCTGCCTTAAATAATCACCACAGGACGATTCTGAAGCCTCTGGCTGCCTTGGTTTTGCTGGATGCTGGCAGCAACTCCTGTACTTTCCTGATTGATAAGTGACTTCGCAGAGATCAAGCCTTGTTTTGTGTGCTGCTTTGGTTGTGTGACGGACTTCCCCTAGGGGGATACAACACACGTCTGTTTCCCCCCCCCCCCCCAGACAGGATCTCAGGACAGACCAAAGTCTAATTTGGTGAAAACGATAAGTGTTATTGGGGCTCATTACAGGAGTATGGGTGAGGGGGTACTTAGAAATGACTCAGAAAGACAAAACCCACTCCAGCGTGGGTTACAATTCACCATACGGAACCTGGAGCACTGGGCGCTGCCTGCAGGCAGCTCAGCAGGTTGGACGCTGCCTTTTCCAGGTGCCCCAGTTGGTCTAAACCGCTTCCTGGCAGCTCAGCTGGTTTCTTCTCCCAGCCAGCTTGGTTTGTCCCGAAGTCTTCTTTGGGTTAGTCCGTTTGGGGAGGGCCTCCCAACAGCATTGTTTACTCTTAGGAGCTTAGGACGGAGGGACGGAGTGAAGTTGGTCAGTTTCAGGGACTTCCTGAGCTACTTTTAGCTGCTTACCTTCCTTCTTAAGGAGCTTTCAGAAGGGTACAGTGTTTCAGGAAACTGCTACACTAGGCTGGTTTTGCCCTGGCGGGTTATTCCTGCCACTCAGGTTCCCTCCAGATCATGGTACCCGAGTGTTCAGCTTCCCTCCCGATCCTGAACTGCTTCAGAAGCAGGACCTATTATTTCACCTATTCTCCCAGAGCTGTTAAAGTTTTCTGTACTGCCAGCCGCGCTCTAAGAGAATTTCTTAAGTTGCCTAAATTACCTTTTTGCTATTTCATTATTACTCCTGTTTTTTTTTTCCCTTAAAATTAAGGGAATTTTTCGCTTACTACAATCGCAATGTAAAAAAAAAAATCAAATAACTGACTTTAGAAGCACAATATTTAGGTTAATTTGGGTGTTTAATAAAAATGTGTTCTCGCCCATTCTGTTAAACACCGGGTGTCAGAAGGATTGTCTCCTTTTACTATATGCTCAGGAGACTTCGCTGAACACAGCTCTGTTTTCTCTTCTGTTCTCCCATGCAGAATAACAAAAGGAAAAGAAGCAAATCCAAGCAGCATCCAAGCAACAAAGATGCCAAGGACAAGGCAGAAAGGGCGGAGGTGGGGCCCCTGCAGCCACAGGTACCGCTGATGCAAAATGGCCACATGAATGGCTGTGACAAGGACAGCTCATCCCCTGACTCTGCCCGAGAGAAACCGGCCCTCCCGCCACGTGAGAGAAAGATCTCGATACTGGAGGAACCCCCGAGGGCTCTGCGTGGGACCACAGGTCAGTTGTTCCTAAGTGTTTTTGCTGAGGGTGATGGGCAGAGAGTGCAACGCGCATGCACACAGAGGTTAATGCCTTGCAGCTCTTATGGCTGCTGCTGCTGCACAGGATGAGAAACTCTGAACTGCTAGTGTGTAGATAGATGTCAATGAGTCCTGAAGCCACATAGTACGTGACCTCCAAGAGATGCTCCATCTGTCCCTGCATGGACTCAGAGGATCCCCACCTCCACCCAACCCCACTGAAAAGCCCCATAGTTCTGTTCCCGTCTAGGCTCCTTGTTCTGTTCGGTTGTTTTCTATGCCAGTTAAAGAATTAAAGGGCAGGAAATATCTTGAGCTTTAACACGGAACAGCTGGGGAATCTTCCAAGGCGGCAGAGAGGATCAGCCAGAATCCGTCAATGAAGAAAGGTTTTTATTAGGGGGTGAAGAAACACACACACAGCAAGCACTTGGAGTGAGACCTTCCCCAAAGCAGAGGGGGATTTGGGAGCCTGAGGCCCAGCTTCTCTTAAGGGCTAGGATTTTTTTGTTTTTGTTTTTGTGTTTTGTTTGTTTGTTTTTAAGTCTTCGAAGGGTCTTCCTCCCCTAATTTGGGGTTGTTCAGCTTGAGGAAGGCAGAATGACTGATTGGCTCACAGCGGTTGTGAAACACGACCTCATTAAGCCTTGAACTTGTGAAGCAGGGATCCCACGGGCAGGAGAAAGACCCTCGAGGCTGTTGTTTTAGCTGCCAGACTTTTGTCTCAGGGCTGGAGGGTGAGGAAGAAGCCCCTTACCTTCTTGCTTACATAGCTGCTACCCCTCTCCCTATCTTGCCTGTCAGGATCTGTCTGAGTCCCAGTCCCTCAGATTAGTTCATAGTAGGATCTTGGGGGGACTAAGTATTGCTATCTTAAAGAGATGCTTCTTCTGGGATAAGGGAAAGACAGTATGACAAGAAAAAAAATGTTATTAAATTCTTTCTTTAGACCAGATTATTTTATCTCCTTTTATACGGTGGACTGGAAGAATATTGAGGGTATTAGAATGTGAATTCATTATATACGCTGCAGCTCTCAAGTCACTTCAGAAGTCTATGTGTGTGTATGTGTGTGTGTGTGTGTGTTCTATGTACACGTGTGTGCAGGCGTGTATGCCAGTATGAAGGCCAGAGGAATTTGTAAGGGGTCTCTTGCTCTGGGACCCTCCACCCATTCCTTTGAGATAGAGCCTTTTGCTGTACCACAAGGCAAGCTGACAGCCAGCAAGCCCCAGAGACCCTCTTCTGCCTACTGTGCACAGTGGTTGTGCACAGCGGTTGTGAACAGCCGTGTTTAGCTGCTTCCATGGGGCTTGGGGATTTAAATTCCAGTCTTCGTGTTTGCACAGGAAGTACGCCTACCCACTGGGCTCTCTCACCAGCCCCAGAAGGGTACTTTATTTATTTATTTATTTATTTATTTATGTGCTTGTATTTTTAATTTCCTTTTTATCTGTTCTTTGTGTCTTTCACATCTGGATCCTATTCGTTTCTCGTTCCTTTGTATCCACCCTCACACCTCTCCCCCAGATAAAATTTAAAAAAAAAAAAGGAAAAAAAATCAAGCTTGTCATGTAAGCTGTAGTGTGACACGGTGAGTCACGCTGTAAACCCTTTCGTCCATGTATCCTAACTTGCAAGAGTTCATTGCGAAGAGTCTTCGGTCTGGTTCGAGGCCCCTGGTTTTTTGGCTGGACGCTCACTGGAACTCCTCTTGGCCTGGGCAGTGCGATAGAACCAGTCTTGTTATGGAGGTGTGGGTAAGCTAGCCCCAAAGTTATGAATATGGAAGAGCTGCGCCCCTTGCTCATCTGCAATGTGCAGCATGGGGGGGTGCTCCCCATGCACCCCTCCCCCCACCACCACCATCAACCCCTGACACAGGTGGAGAGCTGGTCCTGAGGTCACAGGGATGGAGAGCTGCCCCTGCCTGCCACCAACTGCAACACTCAGGAGAGCAAGCCCTGCAAGCAAGTGTGGGCAGCACAATTTAGCCAACCCCATTGGCCGAGGCGTGGGCAAGCCAGCCCTGATATTGTGAGCATGGAAGAAGGCAATTTCTTAATTCACTGTCGATCTTTTGGGTACATTGTTTCTTCTCTACTGGCCTTTCGCTATTTCGTAATATAAGAAAACCGTTTTGGGTGTGTTTCTGACTGCTGCGATACCGAACGCTGTAGACAGGAAATTGTAAGCAAGAGAAGCTTATTTGGCTCGTGGTTCTAGAGGCTGGGAAATCAAACACTGGCAAAGAAGACGCGACAGAGTTGAAGGTCTAGACTACGAATCCCCCGCTGTAACCACTGCAATCTCATCATAAGAATGGCGTCCTCAGTTCCAGTCACAATGTTAAGGGTTTACCTCCCAGCATTCAGTATGAGGAGTTCACTTTCTAGTACTTCTGGGGACCCCTTCAAGCCATAACTTTCAATAATTAAAGCTACCCACTACCCCATGGTTATAACAAATCCTAAAAATAAAATTTATACGTGATGGAACCTGCCTAGAAACAGAATTTCAATCAAGACCTAAGACCTTTTTGACCAGGTGAACTGGGAGGTCTTGTTCACATATACAATGAGCCACTTTGGGCTTAAGATGGAAAAGGCAATATTTAGCTGGATATTGTAGACAGTGTTTCTTTCTGTCTAATATATGAAGAAAGAGTCAATACATAAATAAATGCATCTGTAGAATCTCTGAGAACGCAACTGCTACAAATTCAGTCTGATGGGTGCTGGTTGCCCAAGCCTACACCAGGAGGACTGGGATGGGCACCCCTGGGAGAGTCTTAGTTGAGTACCAGATGCCAGGTGAACTCTGAGAAGGATACCCGTGGGGTAGGCTCTGCCGGACTTGCTCTCTGATATTCTTGTAGCGAAGACTGTGGAATACAGTGAATTTCAGGCTTGGAGAGCAGAGATGCCACCTCCACCTGAGCGATTGAGATGTCATAGATTGGTGGGCAGGGAGAGATCTAGGGACAAGGTGACAGAGAAGGCTGGGAAGGCTAGGGACAAGGTGACGGAGAAGGCTGGGAAGGTCAGGGACAAGGTGACGGAGAAGACAGGGAAGGTTAGGGACAAGGTGACGGAGAAGGCTGGGAAGGCTAGGGACAAGGTGACGGAGAAGGCTGGGAAGGCTAGGGACAAGGTGACGGAGAAGGCTGGGAAGGCTAGGGACAAGGTGACGGAGAAGGCTGGGAAGGTCAGGGACAAGGTGACGGAGAAGACAGGGAAGGTCAGGGACAAGGTGACGGAGAAGACAGGGAAGGTCAGGGACAAGGTGACGGAGAAGACAGGGAAGGTCAGGGACAAGGTGACGGAGAAGACAGGGAAGGTTAGGGACAAGGTGACGGAGAAGGCTGGGAAGGCTAGGGACAAGGTGACGGAGAAGGCTGGGAAGGCTAGGGACAAGGTGACGGAGAAGGCTGGGAAGGTCAGGGACAAGGTGACGGAGAAGACAGGGAAGGTCAGGGACAAGGTGACGGAGAAGACAGGGAAGGTCAGGGACAAGGTGACGGAGAAGACAGGGAAGGTCAGGGACAAGGTGACGGAGAAGACAGGGAAGGTCAGGGACAAGGTGACGGAGAAGACAGGGAAGGTCAGGGACAAGGTGACGGAGAAGACAGGGAAGGTTAGGGACAAGGTGACGGAGAAGGCTGGGAAGGCTAGGGACAAGGTGACGGAGAAGGCAGGGAAGGCTAGGGACAAGGTGATGGAGAAGGCTGGGAAGGCTAGGGACAAGGTGACAGAGGTGACTGGGAAGGTTATAAGGGGTACGGAGAATTTTGCTCAGCCCCCTTGTCTGTCATACCCCTACAGTTAGTATGGCGTTGTTATCCTGTGGCAAGCCAAAGGTGAGTGAGATCATCCCTGTAATGAGTCTTTCTCTACCCCACCTGCCAGCTCCCAAATAACTTCATGGAGACTGATTAATTACGAAATCTTGGCCAATAGCTTCAGCTTGTTTCTAACTGGCTTTTGTAACAAATTAACCCATATTTTTTAATCTATGTTCCTTTACGTGGGTCAGTTTCTTTTACTTTCAATGCTCCTGGCTCCGTTTCCTGGTCTCTCCGCCCTTCTTCCCAGACTCCCCTGTTCCTGAAAATACTGCCTACCTATCTCTTGGCTGTTCTTTTTAAACCAACCAGAGGGATGCATACTCACTGTGTCCAAAAAGACTGTTCCACAACAAATCCCTGCCTAGGATTTCAAAATACAAACAAAACCTGATGGTGGTACACACGGACTGAGGAACGTGGCAAGGGGAGGCCAAATCATGACACTCGGTATCACACCGGAAGTCTTTAGGTTGCCCCTCCAGCCTTCATTTGTCTCCCCCTTTCCTACAAACTCCGTCCACAGAGCTGTGCTCACTCGTCCTTATCAACTACACGACAGTGTCTTAAAACCAAGCAGCTACAGCCATGAGAACCGCCTGGTTCATTTTGCATCCAAATTCTCCAGGAATTTCTAATTCGGTTTTTAAAATCTCTCTTGATTTATAGTCAGGACGGGAGGAAGAAATTAAATAACCGAGTGGCAGGTTCCCAGCTTTACTTGTTATTGCTTTCACACGAATTACTTTCAAAGTCTAATTACTCAAGTTGCCGTTTCGATATCAATCATAAACTAAAAGCCGAGCCGTGTATGTGCTCATTGACTCGTAATTTATGCCTCTGTCCTAACACAGTTTCAGTAAATCTGTCAAGTAAATGGACTGGATGCAAGGCAGAAGCCCTTCACCTCCCCGCGGGTAGCCCCTTGACAGCTAAGCACCAACTAAGGCTGTCCTCTCTGCAAGGGGACTTGATCCTCACCGGCAGGAGGATCTCTGGGAAGAATCTGTACGATCAATACAAAATGCCGCTCGGTGTCCTTTTGGTTCTTTTGAGTGTCACCTGAATGTATTGTTGCTGTTATTGGCTCCTCACAAATCTTTATGCTTTCTGTGAGCATTTTTTTGCAGAAT